GGTGGAAAGAACGGTACGAAGAATAAGACAAAGACCGGACATTACGCACTCGACTACACTCGAGCTACAACTCCTGAGGGTAGTAGACTTTGAGGCCGAAGGCTTCAACCTCGGCAAAGGACAACACCGGAGCTATCTTCTTAGACGTCTCAAAGGCATTCGACAGAGTTTGGCATGATGGACTACTGGCCAAGATGAGCGATTTTGGATACACAGAACCAATGGAAGATTAGTTCAGTCTTTTCTAGCTGACAGGCAATGCCGTTGCAGAGAACGAGACGAATTTTCAACAATTCGACTACTGGATGCAGGGGTCCCGCTAGAAGCAGTCCTTTCGCCACACGTCTTCTCCGTATACACAGCAGACGTGCCCAAACCAGAGAACAACTTTAACAAGTAGTGCTCTACGCAGACACCCTGCTGGCTCTCGCCAGCAACAGGCAGACATATTAGAGAAGTGGACCAATCTTTGGAAGATCAGTATAAACCCTGACAAGAGTCGATACTGTTCACTCGCAGGTTTGTACAACCGGAAGGCAATGTCACCTTCAACGGACAAGAGATTCCGTGGACCAACAAAGTGCCATACCTGGGGGTCATCTTAAACAGAAAATTATTAACATTTCAGTCTCACGTACGGCAGAGAATCGGAATGGCTAGACACGCCAGACAACGCCTGGCACCTATTATAGGACGCAGAAGCAACATGGGGTTGAAATTAAAGTTGCTGATGATCAAATCCATTCTCATTTTTGAATTGATTTAAAGATACCTACAAGCATCCTCACGAACTGATTTCTTCGAAATTATATATACACAGGGAAAACAGAAAGTAGCATCTACGAATGCTACAGGAGCATAAGGAAAAATGAACGACGGCCCTTTAAGGGTCAAAATACTCCGGAGGTAAAATAGCTTCCCAATCGGATCTTTGGATGGGGGCTGATTCAAGGGCATCATCCTGCAGAAGTTATTCGAAAACCACTATTTCTGACAGTCAGCAGGGTCTTCCTCACATCAGTCCACAGAGAAATATGATGGTATCTGCAGACGTATCTTTGAAATATTTTTTTATCAGAAACGATCTCTCCTGTTGACGAGAGGAAATGCTGGAACCCAGAAACGTTGATGTTATGTGGCTCAAAATAATACCACAGAAGATCACCAAATTCATATGTTGCTTGTATCGACCACCTAGCGATACACAACATAAGGCACTATTCTGTTCACTTGCAAATACCATCGACATTCTGTAAATCAATCATCCCAGTGTCGAACTTTCCATATTCGGTGACTTCAATGTCCTTAATATCGGATGGTTCAAATTTTCGAATATCAGCGATGAACAAGGTCGCCAAGCTGAAGTTTTTGCAATAAGCAGCGGACTCACTCAGATTATAAATGAACCAACCATGAATCCTGACCGTGACGGAGAATATGCTAGTCTTCTGGATCTACACCTAACAACTAATCCAGACACTCATACAGTCACCATAAGGTCTCCATTGGGATCTTCTGACCACAAACTCATTTAAGTGTTGAGTGAATTACCGATAAATGTTGGGGAACAATTTAAGCCGCGCAAAGTTTGCATTATAGATCAGCTGAATGGGAGGATCTTCAAAACCATTTCCGAAATTTCCCCTGGCTAGATGTTTGTTTCAGCTCTGAAGATCGATCAACTTGTGCTTCGGAAGTTATATCATCCAAGGATGATATATGATGGCTTTCTATATATCCATTATCATACAAAAAATAAGGGAAATTTTCGAAAGAAATCAACTTCAATGAAAATTTTTCACAAAGATGTTCAAATCAGGCTTTGTTTTTCCATATTTGTTGTACAATGAGAAATACAAATACAAAAATTTTTTTCCTAGAAACTAATCTCTCCGGGGAAACAATCCTTTCCAAAGTGAATGAAATTTCTATCGTTTAATGAAATCAGTAGACGTACGATTGTTTCTTATTGTTCAAAAAGGTTTTGACGAAAACGTTGAAGAGAAGTTTTTTTGCTTGAAACTTCGCAGTACACCACAAGTTTGACAGTTTTCATGTGAGCGAAATTTTATAAAAATATACTTTCATAGAATATCCGACAAGTAACGCATCAGATTATCTTTCAGATGATTCTGTGAAGTATCGTTCAAACAATTCTGTGCCTTATCTGTCTGAAGAGCTTGCTTTCGTTAGAGTGAATTACTTTTTTCATTTTTTCGGAAATTCTGCACATATTTTGAATAAGGTTGGAGAAGTAGAAAACCAGAAAGGATTTTTCACAAAATGTGGTTAGAGTCAGATTTGTTCGGCTTTTTAAAAACTCTACTACTAGTAGAGTACGTTTGAACTGCTAATTTTTCTAATAATTTTTGCAAAATGCAATCCTGAGACCTGAAGAATTACATGATTCGAACATAGTCTCCAGAGTACTTGAAAACAATTGTATAAGTTCTCTCTAAAATTAATTACTCAAATTGATACAACTCCCAGTTTTGAATTGATAACACAAATAAATAAGACGTTGTCCAGTAACCAAAAAATATATATCTTTCGTTATCCTCATGCTCAAAAGTGTAATTATTTTCGAAATTCACTAATTGCTCAGGCTCTTCAGTTTCATCAGATGTGAAACTCCTGTTTCAAAATATTTGTTTTTTTTTTGATATATTTACTTTCGGCATAATTGACATAGATACTGCAAATAGATTATAAATTTATTTATTGAACACACTGGTACTGTTTTGCAAACATATTATATTTTCTATCTTTTACATTTTCAAAAATTTTTACATTCTCTGAGTGAATTTACCTATGAAAGACATAAGTACTTATAAAAAAATAAGTTGATGAATTGTTATACTAATCTTTGAAATTTGCAAATATTGTTTCAGTTCTGTATATACCTGTTGAGAAAATTAATTTAGGAAACTATCTACCTAAGTTGATGACTTATTAGAAATTCAGGTATATGGATATAGTTCCTGATATGTCCATGAATTAGTCTTTTCGAAATTGAAACTATTCTAAATTACCATTGTTTTTCTCACTCGTATATCAGGCAGTATCATTTCAACAAATCAATTCAATTTTTTCATCCACCTTTGAAAACAAAAAAACAAATGAGCAGCAGAAACATTGAATTAGAGTGATAGGTACAATTGGAACCTCTTTCATGAATTAATCAATGAAAAATTTTCGGACACCAGAACGAAAATACTGTGTGTCACGCGCATTTCGCTAACGAACTTAGCCCCATCAGGACATTACTAAAACTTGATTTGCAAAAGGCGCAATTAGAGACAATATTATTGTTAGAAGAATAAGTATTTGGGTCTCTGACCATTGTTTCGATAGGATTCAGACTGAAAAAGGAGGCGACAGAAATTCAGGAAGACAAATAAATTCAACCGAAAGGAAAAAAATCAACATAGAATAATCTAATTACCTGTGCCAGTAGGTAGCATTTTGAGCGCAAACTGACCCAAGTCTGAAGTATTATACGCTTTGAGAACAACCGTTGCCTCATTGCCTTTGGTACTGTCTACCGTTGTTGTAGAAGAAACTGCTGGCATAATAATCTAGCCCCACGGCCAACAAACACGTACAACACAGAATTTACATTGATTTCAATTGGTGTCAACGTTGTGCAGTTCTGAATAAATTCCAATGCAAAGTCTTCTGTGACAATTTTTCAATAATAAACATCTAACAATAGATAGAAATTGCATTAACGTTATTCAAATACTCAATTTTTCGTAAAGCGATAGTTTGAAGTGACTTTTAGTCGATTTATCGGATGCATAAGCATAACTCAATGAATAAACAAACCCTTATGAGGAAGGAAAATTGCATCCTCCACTTGGGAACTTTCATTTTTCTATATTCTAAAATTACTTGTTCTCATTAATTTTCTACTGTAATATTATGTTACTGCGTAGCATCCCTATGAGCAATATCTGATTCAATTCTTTACGAATGTTTGGTGTACAAACTGAATATTAAAAAATGTTTTTGTATAATTTAATGTCCGCATGAGATTAGATGTTTGGAAAAAAGTTTCTGTCGTGTAATTCAAAGTTTAGTTTATTGAGTGTATTTGTTTCCCTTATGAATTAGAAGAGAGAATATGAATAACTCTTCTTAAAAGATTTCAATCTGAGTTATCTATTTTTTTCAAATCAATAATGGTAGCCCATACTTATGCAAATTTCTTGCTCTTCGAATAGTCTACTATGTAAATCTGTCTTCGTTTCCAGATATGGAACTAGAATCTGATGCGCCGCAGAATTTTTAACGTGAGAATTCTCGATAAAAAATTAGTGTTTTTCACAAAAAGGAAGGAATCAACTAAAAAAAAAATCAACTCTATACAAACTCAATGGGTTATGAGTATAAAAACGTCGAAACATATTGGACCATTTTTGGGAGAGAAAGGTTTTGGCTTTCTACTTTTCTATATTCGTTCACAAAAAGGTGGGAATCTTCCAAGTGGAGAAGGAAATCAATCAATTAAAAAAAGAAGTGTAGACCATATAAAGGAGAAATTTCCAGACACAAACTGAAAGAAAAAGTCCTCGAAACATCTATTTTCATATAGACATTGAATTACACGAAAGAAAAATACTTTCGAAATGAACACTTTCACAGGAAAGCTGAATTAAACGAAAAACACTTTTCACTATTCAGTTAGTATTCCAAACATTCATAAGGAATCAAATCAAATATCATCCACAGGACTTCTACACAATATAATAAATGAAAGAAGCAAAATTTGATTTACATGAAATACATCCGATGTTCCGCCTTAAAACACTTGTCATATCTGCTCTCTAGTAGCAAATACGAATAACATTAAAAAAGTGTTTTTTTATAATGTTCTCCGTATTTGCTACTGAAGAGCCGATATGGCAATTGTCTTACGCCGGAACATCGGCTGTCTAGCAGTGAGGATGACATTGTTTTATGTAAGTGAAATTTTGCTGTTTTCATCAATTATCAAACTCATATGTCAGAACGAATCTCAGTACATGCAGTCTGAACATATTTAGTCCCGTCTCTAAAGACCACATGTAGATGGCGCTCACCGTGTGTGGACTCGTTTCAACGTTCATGATCCACCCTACCAGAGAGCTGCATAAATTCGTCAGCAAAAATAGATCTGAAAACAAAACGGCATCCAGCAAGACTTTCAGAGGATACTTGTTGAATATAGCTGGAATGTTTCGGAATCTACGCCATGAAGTTCTATCTCATCTCTGACGCTTTCTCTGAAGCGTCCACTGAACAAGACAGAAAAGTAGTCTGATTTTTTTGTCAATAAATTTAGGTCAGCTTCAACAAACGAGCCGTCGTCCAGTTTGAAACTAACCATTTCTGATTTCTGTTCCTCTTCTTCAATCAGTAGTCTTCGAATGTTAATTTCTGACACGTCTTCAGGTGTGTTTGTCCTACTATTCGAAATTTTCAGTCTCCTCCTGGCTAGGAAGCAAAGCGATGAGATGCATTCCGGTCTATACTTCCCGTTTTGTTCAATGGATTCCAGCATGATTTTTAATCCTCCACATGCGACCAATAAATGGTGAAGGAAACGGTCCTCTCTGGAAAATGGAAGCATGAATTATGGTAATGATGCAAACCATGAAATGATCGCAGTAACATATAAGCGGACTGTTAAAAAATTAGGTGAATGTTCAAATTTTGCGGGCTGCGAACTTTCGATTATCTATTTTTTATTTTTTTGTGTTGATGCAATTGTCTCGAACATATATTCACAATTTCATGTTCACAACATGTTTGGTTCGTTGGCGAAATACATAAAATGAAAAAGTGTTTTGAGTGTTCAGCGATTTTCTACTATGGAAAAAAATAGATCAATGAATTGGCATCAAATTTAGTGTAAAACATGAAATTGAGGGCATAAAAATACTTCAAATGTTTTCAGTGGCATATGGTAATTGTACTTTGAGTCAGAAAAATGTTTACAAATGCCCTGGCCGCCGCAGCACATCAACCACCGATGAGAATGTTCAGAAAGTGAAGAAAATTGTTATGGGGAATCTTCGAATCAATGTTAGAGAGGTTGCTGAGGATGTCGGCATATCGGTTGGTTGATGCCATGAAAAATTTTTGGAAATATTGGGCATGAAGTGTATGGCAGAAGTTCATTCCAAAATGGCTGAATTTCGACCCAAACAACCGTCACATGAACATCACCCAGGAATTGTTGAATGACGTCAAAGGGGATCCAGATTTCGAAGGTGTAATGTTGTCTACAGCAACAAAGCAATCAACATCGATGGTTTGAAAGACAGGAAAAAGAAAGAAATGAAACAATCACCTTGGAATCAATATAAAATGCAAGTATGGGTCAAAATACATATAGTGAGAGTTCATTTTCATACAATGAGTTGATAGGAAATCTTGCATTACGTAGGTCAGATTGTCTTCAGGTTTCCAAGAAACAGAATGAATTTCACAGATATGGAGCCCACGGCTGGTTTTTTGCAGTTTTTTGAAAGAAGTTAGAAAACCCATAACAAATTGGAACCAACATCCGTAGTTCACTCAGTTTCCTCTAGCGAGGAAGGTACGGTGATAGCGAAACGTGTGTATATTTTGTTGAGGATATAAACGAATAATTTAATGGAAGTTTGAAAATTACCATATAGAACCTTTTATGAAATGAGTGGCGTAATACTTACTTTGTTATGTAAGGAATGACCAAAATCATCTGTTCTTTCATATTTTCATCCCCCTCCAGCAGAGCTTTCTCGAAATTTCCTTGAGCATGCCCTGACTTTGCTACGCATGAAAGGCACTGAAGTATTCTTTCGGCCCAATTTTCATAATTGTTGTAGCCGAGAAAATCGGAAGAGGGTCGCGTTCCATGTAATGACAGGTCATAAATTTGCTCAATTATATCAGTCTGTAACAAAGGGCCAAGGTAGACAGGACAATTGAGAATGTCACTCAGATGATCTAGGATTTTCATTTGATACACATTTCCGTACGGAAAATAGGGGATAATCTGTACCAAGCGGAGCACCAGTTCCTTCGTGCCGAGTTGTGGGTGGGAAGGCTGGACTCTTCGGTAAGCAGAGATGAGGTCCATTGTTTCCTAGATAAGAGTGTACTATAAAACCAAGATATTTTAAGGACGGCTTGAGAAATTCACAATCACTTAGATTAACTGTAAGACCTGCATCCTTCAAATATAGAACCTTTTATGAAATGAGTGGCGTAATACTTACTTTGCTATGTAAGGAATGACCAAAATCATCTGTTCTTTCATATTTTCATCCCCCTCCAGCAGAGCTTTCTCGAAATTTCCTTGAGCATGCCCTGACTTTGCTACGCATGAAAGGCACTGAAGTAGTCTTTCTGCCCAATTTTCGTAATTGTTGTAGCCGAGAAAATCGTAAGGGGGTCGCGTTCCATGTAATGACAGGTCATAAATTTGCTCAATTATATCAGCCTGTAACAAAGGGCCAAGGTCGACAGGACAATTGAGAATGTCACTCAGATGATCTAGGATTTTCATTTGATACACATTTCCGTACGGAAAATACGGGATAATCTGTACCAAGCGGAGCACCAGTTCCTTCGTGCCGAGTTGTGGGTGGGAAGGCTGGACTCTTCGGTAAGCAGAGATGAGGTCCATTGTTTCCTGGATAAGAGTTTTCTTCATATCTGCTACCTGATAATCCGCATTGTAACCTGGAAATATAATAAATTGCAAGGCACAGCATTATTTAATATTTTTAATTCAATCACGTTACTGGTGGATTTGGCAATGATGAAAATTACGTTTATCGAGTATGTCCACGAGTTCCAACCTTGAATTATTTGATATTCCCAGGGCACGTCCCAGACTGCTCGTGAGAACTGCAATAGCACTGCAGTCTAATTGTTCCCTTATTATAAGGTCTGAATCTTGACAACTGTTGAGAGCTCTCACCATTAACAAGAAGCATTTCATTTCTTCTTTGGAAGTATAGCGAAATGATCCAATAACATTGATCAAGGCCTTGACGCATAATCTACATTGTTCGAAATTACGCTTGAAGGGAAGAAACATCATTGAACAGAGACACTCTACATAAATTTGACAGTCATATCCTAATTCTGCAATGAAAAAAATCGTTAGCATAACATCAATATATTATTTCTAGATTCTAGAAGATATTATTTTTCACTTGGTGTAAAATAATTTTGTTTCTTGTGTGATGCTTAAAAGTTGGAGTTTCAATTGATTTTTTTTTTCAGAAAACAATGTTTGCAATTCTTATTTTACAGAAAGATAATCATCCACTCACCTTGTAAATCTGAATTCAATAAAATATTTTTGAGAACATTTGATACTTCCCAAACCGGCAGTTTCCNCTATGCTTGAAGACTGGCAGTAAACAAATCTAAAGAAATGAACTTTAAGTCTGTACGTACGTTAAAGACTTCTACAAAATATTACAAATCATCATACTAGTGTGGTTGAAAAATATACACTGAAGTATTTCAAAATGAAGATAATATTATTTTCATTTCTTCAATAATCCTTGCACGATTTGGTGAATTCGTACTGATTTCTTTAAAGAAATCAAAAAGTATTTTAAAATAGTTCCGGCGAACAAAGAGGAATTTCTCTATTTCAAAGTTAATTAATATATGAAATTATTGAATGAAATATACCACTCTGCTATCTTCTTACCTCAAAAGTCGCAACGCGCTGTCAATAGTAGTTTCACAGAAATTTTCGTCAATGGAAGCCACTTCCAAAAAATTCAAAGCACGTCCAACAAATTGTGGATGTCTAGAGATGACTATGTAAGCATAATCTTCTTTACACATACACATATTGGCTAGAACATTGAATATTCCCCCATTAATAGTTTTGTCTCTTGGGTATCGCTCCATCACAATGATCAGCGATGCTAAAGTGTTGTCGTAATCTATCTGAAATAAAAAAACTAATTATTGGATAATCCTTCGTTAATATTTCTTCGATATTCGAAATGAATAATCCAAAACTGAACTGAATAAATATATCGATAAACAGTACTGGATTTTTTTCCCAACAATATTACTGGAGTTTTGTTCCGCAGTTTTATATTCCTCTTGAAGATGATCACTTGGTGCTCGAAACACGTATTAAAATAACGGTTTGGTGTTGGGAAAAAACTCCAGTCATATTCCTCATTACACCAAAGGTTCTAAACAGTGCACCACAAGTAAATTTTTCGGTCATAAGTAAAAATTGAACAAATCAAATTTGGTAGTTTGTTGAATAACTTTAAAAAAATAATCAATTATCATTGTTTGAAAAGTGGCCGTTCGATACAATGTATTGAAAATAGAATGAAGAAAATTCAAATTATTCTGACAATTATTTTATTATCATGGATAATACTGAAGAAATATTCATTTGAGTGGGAAAGTGGGAAAATGGTTGCCACCTTAGAGTCCATTTATTTATTTACTTATTACCTAAATATGTAAAAAAAATAAAAAATTGATGATTTATCACAGATGAGACCTCGGATTGTATTGAATTGTACGGATAGAAATCCAGCGAATTTTTCGGTTCTTTCCGAACAGTTCCAGAACTATATGGATTTTTCTAGATGTCAACCGACTTTCTGTGTCCTATGGATCTCGGATACAATAACAGACAATTTCATTTCAAGAGTTCAAACTGACCAACCGCGAATATGACAGAGCGATCTGTCAAACTGAAACGATTCATTATTTCACAGGAAGTTTCATTCATATAATCTAGTAAATATCGAAGTATGCATTATATGATCTTTACGGTGTCTCAAATGAATATGTAAATTAAATTAAATTCACCAATACAGTGGACCGTAATAAGAGATCGAAATGAAAAATGAATTGCCATATTTCACTGATTCACGTTACCTCATGAAAACAAGATAACATTCTCTCAATCCAAACTCCAATAATTCTGACAATTTATATGTGATATTCAGAAATTTCAGACCATAATCGAAACTCATCCATTCAATAAGACATACGCGACTTACTCGTGAGATATTGAGCCGCGTCAAGTAGGTCGGGTGCCGGTTATGCGAATACATTTCAAGGCACGATAGACAATAACGATGAAATCCTATTGTTGAAGAATACTTAATAAAAATATACGTACTCTGTTCTTGTGGTATTTCTTTCGATCATTTTTACTGTAAATATATTGATATTTTTGATAAACTTTGCAATGGATGATCTTTCATTAGCAGGTAACATTTTCATCATTTGAATGGAAATGGATAATAAGTGCAGATTTTGCAATTCGCTACCAGATTGCAAATCATTTTCATGATCAGCGATTTCTTAAATTTGTGTCAGTTGAGAGATTCAAAAATTCAAATCGATTTATAACTATTTCATAAATTTTTTGGAGTATCAAGAAGACAAAATGTGTGGAGAACACCAAATAGCTCATTGATGGTCGAGACGATGTGAAATATATCAGGAAGGAACATACTTTCTCCAATTACACAATTTTTTTTGTCTGAAAGTCACTGACATAACTAAATTGAAGCTCCTCTCGACAGAATAAATGTATCAACACTTGTCTATAAGTTATGAACGGTACTTACTGAACTGCTGATGACGGAGCGCTCACTCAGAAAATTTTTGCCATAATCATTATCCATTACGCAATTTTCCACGATGCTCAAGGCAACGTCGATTGTTTGCTTCTTACTAGTTTTTAATATCTGTAAAACATCCCTGAAACAGTTCATCGCTTTGAATTGCGAAATTTGTTGTTGGTGTTTGGGCCACTCCAGATATCTTCGAATAGAAGTTAATACTTTGAAAACGTTCGTGTCATTACGTTTTTTCTTCACTTCTTTGAGTAGTTCGTAGAAATACTTCATGTCCGTTTTTTCTGCCATCTTTTATTCAACAAGAATACTCACTATCGTAATACTACAGTCACCAATCACTTGTATTCTGGAANCTGATATGTCCAAGAATTAGTCTTGGAAATTGAAATTATTCTATACCACTTTTATTTTTTTTACTCGTATATCAGCCAGTATCATTTCAGATTCTCAACAAATCAATTCAAATCCAAATTTCAAAATTTGGATCAATTCCAAAACATGATCATCGATTTATTTTTTTTTATCCCGTAAATCGCCGAGAAACTCTGTAAATCCTGCCAAGCCTTCAGTTGTTTCGTTATTTCGATGCATTGAGGGTAATAAATATATTTTAAAAATTCGTTATAGAAGTTAAACAATTTCAAAAACTGATGCATTCACAAACCATACAGAGAGGGTCTATAAGGCCAGGAAAGTACCCCAGAGAGCAACACCGGGGGTTTACCGGATATCTTGTACCCGGGGAACGGTCTACATTAAAACCACGAAGAGAAGAATAAGCATGTGGCTATCCGACCATTGTCTCGATAAGACTCAGACTGAATTTGGAGGCGACAGGAATTCAACAAGACAAATAATTTCAACCGAAAGAAAAAATAATTAACGTTGAATAATATAGCTACTTGCGCCAGTAGAATGCATTTGGAACCCAAACTGACCGAAACCTGAAGCATTATCTGCTTTGAGAATAACTATTGCCTCATCGCCTTTGATACTCCGCCACAAAGCCAACAAACACAGAAAATAGTTTCGACACAGAACTTACATTGGTTACAATTCGTGCCAACATTGTGCAGTTCTGAATAAATTACAATGCAAAGTTCTTCTGTGACAATTTTTCATTAATAAACATGTAACAAAAGATTGAAATTACATTACCGTCATTGAAATACTTTTTATAAAGCGTTATTTTGAAGTGACTTTTAGTCGGTTTATCGGATGCATAAGCATAATTCAATGAATAAACATAACCTTATGAGGAAAAAAAATGCATCCTCCAGTTGAGAACCACAATTTTTTTTATTAAAAGTGGTGTTTTTCAGGAGATATTATTTTTTGGGAAAAAAATGTTTTGGCTTGAATTGAATTACAGGAAAAAGAATAATTTCGAGTAAACTATTTCTATATCAACATTGAATTATTTGAAAACTACTTTTTCACATCCATTATATACTGCACATCCATATATACCTATGAATTATATCCGAGTACAAACTGAAAAGTAAAAAGTGTTATTTGCAAATTTGATATTCGTCTAAGATTAGTTGTTTCGAAAAAAAAAATATTTCATTCAATTCAATGTTCAGTTTGTTGAGTTCATTAGGTATCCATATTAACAACTTTCACTTTCTGAATCTCACTGTGTGTCAGATCACCTTTGTCGGGTGATATAATCTCACTCTCCTGAGAAAATATTTTTCAAACCTTGAGTCCTCCTCCCAGATGGATCAAAAACACCTTCAGGTTCTGATGCAGGTGTTCCAAAAACTACTCTCCTCGATATTGTACCCTGGCCATAATGGCCTGGAAAGCAATGAAGCTGCTGACTCCCTTGCAAAGGAGGGTGCCGCAACCGGCTTCATCGGGCCATAACCAGTCATTGGCATCGTTTTAGGCTAAGCCAAACAAACTTTCAACACCTGGATGACAAGAAGATTTATGGATTTCTGGCAGAAATCACCCTTCATT